AGCTGGAGATGTCTCTGCCTTGGTCCTTTCACTATTGGCTGCTACTTCCCGCCGGATGTCAGGTGGTGCAATACCGGCTAAGCAGTGATTTCTCCAGTGGTGTAGGGCGCAGACACCCCGTGGTAATGCGGCATGTCTCATTAAGAGCCACATCCAGTGTTTTAGTGTGGTGAGATGTGTTCCACCCTGGGCATGCATACTCAGCAGCAGAGTAGCATAGCGCAAAGGCAGATGTCTTCACTGTGTCTGGTTGTGATCCCCAGGTTATGCCAGTCAGCTTTTCGTATGATATTGTTTCTAGCACCCACTTTTTGCTTGATGTTCAGGCAGTGCTTCTTGTAGGTCAGAGCACGGTCCAGAGTGACTCCCAGGTATTTGGGTGCGCTGCAATGCTCCAGTGGGATTCCTTCCCAGGTAATCCTCAGAGCTTGGGATGCTTGTCTGTTCTTAATATTATTATTATTATTATTATTATTATTATTATTATTATTATTATTATGTGGCAAAGGAGGTTGGACCGGATGACCTTTAGGGATCCCTTCCAACTCTAGCATCCTATTTGCCCAACGTTAAAGCAGATTAGCTGCCCATAGAGGTTTCCCAGATGGTTTTAAGAACATGTCCCGGCTCCAGAACTCGAAGGGCTTCCAACTGGGTCATCTGCCCCCTCTATATCTATCTCTGCCTATGGGATGCCAGTGGGGTTTCTGTTGTGCCACGGAGGGGCAACCCGTTGTTCCGGGTGCCACCTGCTCTTTGGCCCAGTAACCCAGGAGGGGGTTCTAGCATCCCAAACCCGCCACCAGACGCCGCAGAAGAGAAATGTGGGTCACGCCGTCTGGAGACGCCACAAAGAAAGGGCAGATGTGGGGCACAACGGCCAGGCTTTTGGGGCCTTCCTCGTCCACCGTGATTGAGAAGCGGATGGACGGATGGGTGGACGCGGCCAAGAAGAGGAAAGGAGGGCGAGGCTCCAGCTCCCCAAACAAACACAAGACGGAGAAAAGCGGGCCTTTTGTCAGGAGCCCTTTTGGGAGCCAGCGAGCCGCAAAGACCCCACAGACGGGCCAAGAAGGAGCCACAAAGGGTTCCCCCCCCCCCACCCATTTGCAGAGACTCACACATGTTTGCGGTTGCTGTGGATGTTTGCACAAAAGCATAGCTGTGAGAGTGAAACAAGGACTCCCACGATGACATTTTCAGCCTAGTAGCAACCTCAGGCGGAATTGAGTTTAGGAAGGCAGGCCCAGTGTAGACTCAGAAGGGGTCCCCAAAGGCCATCTAGTCCAATCTTGTTCTGCCTGGCTTGGATTGTGTATTTCAGTTTTGCAGAATGGGGTTGGACTGGATGACCTTTGGGGTCTCTTCCAACTCTATGGCTGCTATTCTCCTTTTGCTAATTCCCATTAAAAGTGACATTAGACTAAAGAGAGAGAAAATTCTCCTTCTTCAATGCCGGATTGCCTAGAGACATTTGTTGGAGCACGTAAGAAATTGGTTAGTGTGAATGTGTCAACTGTAAAATAAGATGCATGAAGCATATTGGTTGAGCTTCGCCTGGGGAGATGGCTGAGCCTGGGACTTTTGGGTACTGTTACATTTTTCAGGCTTGAGCTATGCAGGTTCTTGAAGTTGCAGAGAAACAGACAGAGAGACAGAGTTTTGGAGTGTGCTCTCACTTCATGAGCTGCTGAAGGAGATTATCCACATTTAAATCTCTCATAAAAGGACAGTATGTGAGTTGATATGACTGATCACATGATTGTACATAAGTTGTTCTGGAGGCCCTGCCTGAGCTCTGCGAGTGCAACATTTTTCCAAATGAAGCAGAGAGTGTTTGAGGACCGGGGCATCTGTAGGGAGACCAAGGTGCTTGTTTATAACCCTGCGAAACGTGGACAGTCTACAGACGTCACATGCAACTCCTGGAACGATTCCATCAGCGCTGCCTCTGAAAAATCCTGCAAATCTCTTGGGAAGACAAGCGGACAGATGTCAGCATGCTGGAAGAAGCAAAGACCACCAGCATTGAAGCGATGGTCCTCCGCCATCAACTCCGCTGGACTGGCCATATTGTCTGGATGCCCAACCACCCAAAGCAGTTGCTCTACTCCAAACTCAAGAATGGAAAACAGAATGTTGGTGGGCAAGAAAAAAGATTGAAAGATGGGCTCAAAGCCAACCTTAAAAACTCTGGCATGGACACTGAGAACTGGGAAGCCCTGGCCCTTGAGCGCTCCAGCTGGAGGTCAGCTGTGACCAGCAGTGCTGTAGAATTTGAAGAGGCACGAATGGAGGGCGAAAGAGAGAAACGTGCCAAGAGGAAGGCGCGTCAAGTCAACCCTGACCAGTACCGCCTTCCATCTGGAAACCCATGTCCTCACTGTGGGAGAAGATGCAGATCAAGATTAGGGCTCCACAGTCACCTATGGACCCACCACCAGGACACTACACTCGGAGGACCATCATCCTCGGACTACGAGGGATTGCCTAAGTAAGTAAAGTGTACATATGTTGTCCTGGAGCACCTGGTGGCGCAGTGGGTTAAACCGCTGAGCTGCTGAACTTGTTGAGCAAAAGGTCGCAGGTTCAAATCCAGGGAGCAGGGTGAGTTTCTGCTGTTAGGCCCAGCTTTTGCCAACCTAGCAGTTCCCAAACATGCAAATGTGAGTAGATCAATAGGTACTGCTCCGGAGGGGAAAGTAACAGCACTCCATGCAGTCATGCAAGTGGCAACATGACCTTGGAGGTGTCTATGGACAACACCGGCTCTTTGGCTTATTTACTTAGGCGATCCCTCGTTGGACGAGTAAGATGGTCTTCCTTGATGGCTATTCTTGTGGGTTCGTAGGTGGCTGTGGAGCCTTATTCTTGATCTGCATCTTCTCCCACAGCGAAGGCATTGGTTTCCAGGTGGAAGGCGGTCCCGGTTGGGGTTGGCTTGATGCGCCTTCCTCCTGGCATGTTTCTCTCTTTCACCCTCCACTTGTGCCTCCTCGAATTCTGCAGCACTGCTGGTCACAGCTGACCTCCAGCTGGAGCGCTCAAGGGCCAGGGCTTCCCGGTTCTCAGTGTCTATGCCAGAGTTTTTAAGGTTGGCTTTGAGCCCATCTTTCAATCTCTTTTCCTGTCCACCAACTTTCCGTTTTCCGTTCTTAATGGAGATGAGCACCAACCCCCAGAGTCAGACACGACTGGACTTCATGTCAGGGGAAAACCGTTTACCTTTACCTATGTTGTTCTGAACTACGAAGAGTAAACTACTTGTTCTCTACTGTTCACCTGCGTGGCATATTTTCTTTCTCTGGTAAGGCAGTGTGTGGGCTGGTCAAACGTGAACTACACATGACTTCACAACCAATAGTGCAAGGACCAAGGCAGTGACATCTCTGGCCTATCCCCTATTTGGATATCAGCCAGCACGCCAACGACTTAAATCAAGAAATAGTTTTGTAAGATCTACAGAGACACTTGCTGGAACATCTCAGTAAGCAAGAGTCCATAAGCGGCAGGTTCAAACCCAGAACCTCAATCAGTGGATGAGACCAGATGAGAGACTCCCTCCTGGGCGCACAGAAAACTGGGCGCTTGGAAGGCGCTGAACACCACGAGATGCAGAGCCAACCTTAAGAAATGGGGCCACAAAGTGGAGTCCATGACATGTGAATGCACAGACGACCTATTGCAATGCAATCTGAGCCCTGCCACATGCACAATGCTCAAAGCACATTTAGTAGAATGCTAAGTTTGCAAACTTTGTGTGTGTGTGTGTGTGTGTTTAATACAATACAACTGTTTGGTTCACTCCTGGCATCTATATAAATAAAAATGTAATGTTTGTTTGTGGGATTAAGAGAACTCAAAAACCACTGGACAAATAGACACCAGATTTGGACACAAGACACCTAACAACCTAATGTACGTCCTTCACTCAAAAAAATTTGTTTTTGTCATTTGGGAGTTGTAGTTGCCAGGATTTATAGTTCACCTACAATCGAAGAGCATTCTGAACCCCACCAATGATGGAATTGAACCAAACTTGGAACACAGTTCTCCCATGACCAACAGAAAATACTGGAAGGGTTTGGTGGGCAGTGTCCTTTGGTTTTGGAGTTGTAGTTCACCTACATCCAGAGATCACTGTGGACTCAAACAATGATGGATCTGGATCAAACTCTACAAGAATACTCAATATGCCCAAATGTGAACACTGGTGGAGTTTGGGGAAAATAGACTCTCGAGTTGTAGTTGCTGGGATTTATAGTACACCTACAATCACAGAACATTCTGAACCCAAACCTCCCACACAGAACCCCCATTAGGGCCACAGCAATGCGTGACAGGGGGCGGCTAGTGATAAATAAATAAATAGGTTCCTATGGTTATCCGCTCTGGATTTTAGTCCGAACTGAAACCCAGTGTTCATCCCAGAGATGCACAAAGCCGTGGCGTAATTTTAAAAAATTGTTTTATTATCATCACCATCCTCATCCTCATCGTCATTATTATTATTATCTCAAGACCTTGGATGTCCCCCTCCCCACCCCATATTTTTTTTTAAAATGCATATTTCCAAAAAGGGTCGGGTCAAGTACCAAAAGAAATACAAAATAATATTACAAAACCAAAACCGGTCGGTCAGTCGGTCGGTCAGTGGAGTCACAGCGAATGTTTTAGAAATCACAGACGGGAACCGGGGGGGGGGGGGGGGGGGAGGAAGGAAGGCGCAAGCGAAACCCACAGACGGAGACATTATTCCAGACGACCCAACACACACAACCCATCCATCATCATTATCATCATCATCATTAACGGTTGTTATTCTTAGGATTATTATGATTAGGGTTATGATTATTTCTCATTTATTGTTTGCTGTACAAAAAAGACACCGAAGCATGCGATGAAGTCGGGGGGGCAACGGGATCGGGGGGGGGGGGAGTGGAGGAATGCAATCGACAAAGAACGCATCGTCGTCGATGCTCTTCTTCTTCTTCTACTACTTCCCTTTCTCTCTCTTTCGCGCCTTTTCTCTCTTGCTCAGGTGAGGGGCTCAGGTGAGGTTGTTCTGGAGGCAGTTCCGCTCGCCGCCCTCCTGGGGGTCCCCCTTGCCGTTGTCCATCTTGGGGGGCAGGGAGTTCTGGATGTTGAAGGACTCCTCCTCCTTCAGGCAGGACTTCAGTGGGTCCGGGAGCTTGTGGGGGGCTCCGGGGTCATCCTGAGCATCAAAGAGAAGGGTCAGCGCCCAGCAAGGACGGCAGAGAAGCTTCCCAAGGGAGACAAGAGTCGCACCGGAGGACCCAGGGAGTCTGACGCCTTTGGAAGTCCTCCAGTGTGACCCTGGAATGGGCAAACCCACCCTTTCAACTTCCTTCCCTTCCTTTTGTCTTTCCTTCCTTCCCTTCCATTCTTCTTTCCTCCTTCCTTCTCTCTCCCTCTTTCTCATTCCTTTCTTCCCTTTTGTTTTGCCTTCCTTCCCTTTTTCTCCCTCCTTTGACTCCCTTCCACTCTTTTATCCTTCCTTCTTTCCCTTTTGTCTTTCCTGCCCTCCCTTTTATCTTTCCTTCCTTCTCTCCTTCCTTCCCTTCCATTCTTCTTTCCTCCTTCCTTCTCTCTCCTCTTTCTCATTCCTTTCTTCCCTTTTGTTTTGCCTTCCTTCCCTTTTTCTCCCTCCTTTGACTCCCTTCCACTCTTTTATCCTTCCTTCTTTCCCTTTTGTCTTTCCTGCCCTCCCTTTTATATTTCCTTCCTTCTCTTTTCCCTTCCTCCTTCCCTTCCACCCTTTCATCTTTCCTTTCTCCCCTCCCATTTGTCTTTCCTTCCACTTTCTCTTCCTTCCTCTTCCTTCTTCTCTTCCTTCCTTCCTTCCTTCCTTCCTTCCTCCTTCTCTTTCTCCCTTCCCTCCTCTTTTTTGTTCTTCCCTTCCACCCTTCATCCTTTCTTTCGTCCTTCATTTCCTGCCCTTCTTTTTATCTTTTCTTCTTCCTTCTTTCCTTTTGTTTTGCCTTCCTTCTCCTTCCTTCCTTCTCTCTTTCTCCCTCCCTCCCTCAATTCCCTTCCACTCTTTTATCCTTCCTTCTTTCCCTTTTGACTTTCCTGCCCTCCCTTTTATCTTTCCTTCCTTCTCTCTTTCCTTCCTCCTTCCCTTCTACCCTTTCATCCTTCCTTCCTCTCCTCCCTTTTGTCTTTCCTTCCACTTTCCTTTCCTTCCATCCATCCTTCTATTTCTCCCTTCCCTCCTCTTTTTTCATTCTTCCCTTCCATCCTTCCTTTCATCCTTCATTCCTTCCCTTCCTTTTGTTTTTTCTTCCTTCTCTTTTATCCTTCCTTCTTTCTCTTTTGTCTTTCCTGCCCTCCCTTTTATATTTCCTTCCTTCTCTTTTTCCTTCCTCCTTCCCTTCCACCCTTTAATCCTTCCTTCCTTTCCTCCCTTTTGTCTTTCCTTCCACTTTCTCTTCCTTCCTTCCATCCTTCTCTTTCTCCCTTCCCTCCTTCTTTTTCGTTCTTCCCTTCCACCCCTTCCTTCCTTCCTTTCTTTCCTTCTCTCTTTCCTTCCTCCTCCCTCTTTCTCTTTTCTTCCCTCCTTCCTTCTTCTCTTTTCTTTCTCTCCTTCCTATTCCTTTCCTTTCATGCTTCCTTCCCTTCCCTTCCTTTTGTCTTTCCTTCTCTTTTTTCCTTCCTCCTTCCACCCTTTCATCCTTCCTCCCTTCCTTCCCTCCCTTTCATCTTCCCTTCCACTTTCCCTTCCTTCCTTCCTTCTCTTTTTCCCTTCCCGCCTTCTTTTTCCTTCTTCCCTTCCACCCTTTTGTCCTTCCTTCCTTACCTCCCTTTTGTCTTTCCTTCCTTCTCTCTTTTCTTCTTATTTTCCTCCCTCAATTCCTTCCCTCCCTCCATTCCCTTGCAGCATTTTGCACTTCCTTCCTTCTCTCTTTCCTTCCTCCTTTCCTTCCTTTCATCCTTTTCTTCCTCCCTCCTTTCCTTCTCTTTTTCCTCCTTCCCTTCCACCTGTTCATCCTTCCTTCCCTTCCCTTCCTTCCTCCTTCCCTCCCTCCTTCCTTCTCTTCCACCCTTTCATTCTTCTTTCAACCATCCTTCTCTCTCCCTCTTTCTCCTTCCTTTTGTTTTTCCTTCCTTCTCTCTTCCCTCCCTCTCTTCTTTCTCCCTCCCTCCATTCCCTTCCACTCTTCTGCCCTCCCTTCCTACTCTCTTCCCTTCCTCCTCCCCTTCCTTCCTTCCTTCCATCCATCCCTTCCACCCTTTCATCTTGTCTTCTTTCCCTTTTGTCTTTCCTGCCTCTTCCCTTTTATCTTCCCTTCCTAATCTTTTTCCTTCCTTCCCTCCCCTTTCTCCTTCCTTTCCCCCCTCCCCTTTTGTCTTTCCTTTCTCTTTCCCTTCTCCTTTCCCTCCATCCTTCTCTTCCTCCTTCCTTCCTTCTCTTTTTCCTTCTTTCCTTCCACCCTTTCATCCTTCCTTCACTTCCTTTTGTCTATCCTTCCTTTTCTCTTTCCTTCATCCTTCCCTTCCTTCCTTCTTTTCCTCCCTTTCTTCTTCTTTTCCTTCTTTCCTTCCACCCTTTCATCCTTCCTTTCCCTCCCTTTTGTCTATCCTGTCTTTTCTTTCCTTCTTCCTTCCCTTCCTTCCATCTTTATCTTCTTCCGATCCTTCCTTCACTTTTTCTTTCTTTCCTTCCACCCTTTCATCCTTCCTTCCCTTTCTTTTATCTTTCCTTCCTTCTCTCCTTCCTTCATCCTTCCCTTCCTTCCTTCTTTTCCTCCCTTCCCCCTCTTTTCCTATTATTATTATTTCCTCCCCTCTTTCCCCCCTCCTTCCCTCTCTCCCTCCCTCCAATCCCTTCCACCCCTTTCCTTCTCTTTTTCCTTCCTCCTTCCCTTCCTTCCTTCCTTCCTTCCTTCCTTCCTTCCTTCCTTCCTTCCTTCCTTTCCTCCCTCTTTCTCCTTCCATCCTTCCATTCCAGTGCTATCATGCAGCCCCCAAGTTAGAAAGTTGGCCCACGCCTGAGCTAACCCCAGGCTGGCATCAGCAGACGTAGAGAGAAAACCTATCTAGGCATCTATAGGTACTCCTAGCACAGGTATGAGCCAACTTTGGCTCCCTTCAGGTGTTTTGGACTTCAACTCCCACTTCCTAACAGCCTACCAACTGTTAGGAATTGTGGGAGTTGAAGTCCAAAACACCTGGAAGGAGGACCGAAGTTGGCCCATGCCTGCCCTTTGAATGTTGAACTATGACTTCAGAAGACCATGGAAACCCTTGGTGAGTCACACTCTCTCAGCCTTGAGGTGTAGCAACACAATCCCCCCCAAGCAAACCCTCCTAATGGGGTTTCCCTCTGTGATGCTCTGTACGTGCTCTTGCATCCTCAAGCCATGCCATTCCCATTCTCCCCCCCCCCTCCCCAAATAAGTGAAGAAGACAGGCAGCGAAGGCATAGCAGCAGCCCCCCAACCCATTCCCCCCAAATCTCCCCTTCTGGCCGGAGGGGGGTGTTCGGTGGCACGCAGACGGACATACGCCATGGCAGACAAAGCCGGGGCCTCAAGGAGCCCCGATGAGTAATGGACACAGTGGGGAAGGAATGGGGCAGGGAGATGGAGGTCGGGGGCATCGCCAAAGCAGGCTCAGAGCAACAGCTGCAAGCAAGGTGCGGGGTCCCTCTCTGGCCAAACCCAAAAGGTGACTTCTCTTCCTCTTAGTGATTACTTAAGTACCACTTCTGGGGTCTATCCAACATCTTTAGCCATTTTGGGGCTCACCAGCAAGATGCTGGGGATGCTGGGGATTCCTCCTCAGGGGATGAGGGGAATGATGGGTTTTGTACTGAGTCTGTGTGTGATCAGGCTGAAACACAGGCTGAATTGCAGGCCGTAGATCAGAGAGAGTGGCCGGCAGCTGCAGAAGAGATAGAGGATGTTTGGGAATCCGTTTCTCTTTGGAATCAGTCTTCTCAGACTTCCGAAGATGGAGAGTTTTCCCATGATAACAGATTAGGCCTTCGCACAGAGAGAGCAAAGGAAAGGTTGATCAGAAGTCCAGAAAGGCTCCATGAGAAGCAGTCATAGAATCATAGAATCAAAGAGTTGGAAGAGACCTCATGGGCCATCCAGTCCAACCCCATTCTGCCAAGAAGCAGGAATATTGCATTCAAATCACCTCTGACAGATGGCCACCCAGCCTCTGTTTAAAAGCTTCCAAAGAAGGAGCCTCCACCACACTCCAGGGCAGAGAGTTCCACTGCTGAACGGCTCTCACAGTCAGGAAGTTCTTCCTCATGTTCAGATGGAATCTCCTCTCTTGTAGTTTGAAGCCATTGTTCCATTGTGTCCTAGTCTGCAAGGAAGCAGAAAGGAAGCTTGCTCCCTCCTCCCTGTGGCTTCCTCTCAGTCCTTGAAAACCAGGTGTCAAAGGGATGACCTCGTGGCTGCTCGGTCAGGTTTGAGCTTCAATTAAACATGAGCCAACAATGTGATGTGGCAGCAAAAAAAGCCAGTGGGATTTTGGCCTGCATCAATAGGAGCCTAGTGTCTAGATCTAGGGAAGTCATGCTCCCCATTCTGTATTCTGCATTGGTTAGACCACACCTGGAATATTGTGTCCAATTCTGGGCACCACAATTCAAGAGAGATATTGACAAGCTGGAATGTGTCCATAGGAGGGCAACTAAAATGATCAAGGGTCTGGAGAACAAGCCCTATGAGGAGCGGCTTAAGGAGCTGGGCATGTTTCGCCTGAAGAAGAGAAGGATGAGAGGAGATATGATAGCCATGTATAAATATGTGAGAGGAAGCCACAGGGAGGAGGGAGCAAGCTTGTTTACTGCTTCCCTGGAGATTAGGACGCGGAACAATGGCTTCAAACTGCAAGAAAGGAGATTCCATCTGAACATGAGGAAGAACTTCCTGACTGTGAGAGCCATTCAGCAGTGGAACTCTCTGCCCCGGAGTGTGGTGGAGGTTCCTTCTTTGGAAGCTTTTAAACAGAGGCTGGATGGCCATCTGTCAGGGGTGATTTGAATGCAATATTCCTGCTCCTTGGCTGAATGGGGTTGGACTGGATGGCCCATGAGGTCTCTTCCAACTCTTTGATTCTATGATTCTATGAATTCTATGATTCTAAGTGACGTTTTCTTGGTCTCTTTAGAGCAGACAACATTGCCATAGAAGCCTCAGTCAGCTCTCATGTTCATGTATCTTGTCTCCT